GCGATGTCGATATAAATGAAAATTGAGACCGCAGAGCAAGGAAGTTGAAATGCCAACGGAAGCCGCCATATTTGTATGTACAGCCAGATGCTGACTGGGCACAACCGCAGCGGTGAAAGCCCACCGGATGCAGCTCGGCTTCCTGTTTCCCCCGGAGAATTACGGGTTGGTTTGTGCCGCTCGACCATGGTCAAGCGGAAATCTGTTATGCCCGCCTGAGTCAGTCCTCACTTTGTCACCTTTATTTTTTGTTAAAGGAGCTAATTTTTAAATATTTTATATGCAGAGTAAAGGAGATGAAATAACATTTTTTATTAAATTTTTTGTATGCTTTTATATCGATATATAGATCAGTATATGCCCAGTTTTTTCTCTCTCGCTGTATTATTCCGTTTGCTTTCCGTAAAACGCTTTTTTATCTCATCGATTTTTTAAGAAGAAAACCCCATGCCCTGACACTGCTCATTAAAAACGTGGCAAAAAGAAGAAATATCCATCCAAGCAGTTGTGTAAATTTTCCCAAAGTTTATATCATTAAAGTCGCAAGGAGATGAAAAGCCTGGGAAAAGCGTTGACATGAGGAGAGAAGGAAAAGCAACCAGGCGGCGTAGGGGAAGTAAAAGTGATGTGTGAACTGCAAATTGCACGAGCTGACAACGGAAATTCGCCGGCTGGCAGTGAAAATGTTTACGATATTCATGGGCTCAATTTGTGGATGAAAGGGTTTTCAGAGTTCTGCCTGGAAAATGATGGTTGCTTTACGTCCAATCGTTAAGTTTTGCTGGGGAATTTTCAGTGGCAATTAATTTGTACAGATCTTTGAGATATCTTGCAACATTTTAAGCAAACTTCGGATAAGTCTTTTAAATAAAGAGAATTTTTTTCAATTTATACCCTTTAAAATTCTCCTTAACTAAAGATCCTTTAAACTTCTTTTTATAGAAGAACAGATAGCGAGACAACCGGATTAATATCAATCTGCCGACCTTTTATTACCGTGGTAAACAACAATTGTCCTTAATTATGAACGCTGCCTGTCGGGCTGCGCAGCTGCTGGAAGTTCCATAGGAGGCAAAAATCTCTGAAATCTCTGTCACTCCTCGGCCGTGACGGCAGGAAGAACAGCTCCTCCCGCGCCCTTTTGCACAACAAGAACAATCACGGAAAACTGTGTGTTGCATGCCCCGCAGGCGTGGCACGTACTCCTGCCAACTGTCAACGCGTCATTCAGCGCGCTAATTAAGTGAAAAACTATGTTGCACACAGCCAAACAACGCACAAACACACACAGACACATATATACATATCTTTTGACCCAAAAAGCAAACAAAAAACAAGAACAAAAAGCTGGGAAAAACGGGGAGTTGAGGTATCTGACTTGGAGATATTGAGATATATTTGTTTTTCATAAATAAACGAAGAGAAATGTACCAAATTTTCTATTAATTTAAATACATTTATATCCAAGAAAGTTTTTTTCTATATTTATGTTGTTTATTTGTATTTTTTTGAACGAACCTTTACTCAATATTTACCATTTTATAGCCTACCCTGAGGCTCTACACTTAAAGACTCTTAAATGTAGCTTTACTAAAGACCCCGAAGCGTAGGTTTAAAAGCTTGTAAATACTTTCCTTTCTCTGAAAAACAAACATCTCCAGCATACCCCTATTATATCCCAAAATACTGGGTATAGAAAGCGCCCAAAGTTGTTGACAAACAGAGAAGCCGCCTGAAGGGAGAAGGGTTGGCTGGTGAACTGAATCCTGAATCCTGAATCTGAAACTTTCCTTTTTTCGTGTGCGCGCCCACATAATTCGCAACAGCGACAGATGCAAATTTCCCTTCGAGCCGAAAAGGCGCTTAACCCGTTTTTCCGCGCTGATTGAAAAACAAGCAGAGGAGGAGGAGAGGAGGCAGGTCGTCGTAGGGCTGAAATGGAGGAACCAGAGTACCACACCGCTCAATAAGTTCCCGGCCTAAGAAGGAAAAACACATTTTTTTCTGAAAATTTAGTTTTATTCATCAATTTAGTTTTCATCTACGGCTACACACTCAGTCCAGCGCTTCTCCAACCTTTCGATGCCATTTTTGGAGAAGGCTGAACTTTTGCCCTTAAAATAGGCCTCAGTATCGGCAATCGCCTCCTCATTTTTTCGATATCTCTTGCCTTGGAGGTGCTTTTTGAGATCTGAAAAAAGCCAGTAGTCGCTGGGGGCCAAATCTGGAGAATAGGGTGCGGTCGGCAGTAGTTCGAATCTCAATTCGCTCAATTTCATCATTGTTGCCACAGACTTGTGGCACGGTGCATTATCCAGTGAAACAGCGGTTTCTTCTTTGCTATATGTGGACGTTTTTTTTCTTGATAGCTTGGTCCAGTCGATCCAGCAGCTTTATATAATATTCGCTGTTGATTGTTTTACCTTTCTCCAGGTAGTCTATAAACAAAATCTCATATGCATCCCAAAATACGGACGCCATAACCTTACCCGCCGATATTTGTGTTTTGGGACGCTTCGGACGGCTTTCACCAAATACCACCCACTCAGAAGACTGTTGACTGGATTCTGTAGTGTAGTAGTGTATCCATGTTTCGTCCATTGTTAAGTAACGGCGAAAAAAATCGGTCCCATTGCGCTTCAACATGCTTAAAAACGTCTCGGAATCATCAATGCGTTGTTGCTTTTGGTCCGGTGTTAGCAATCGCGGCACCCACTTTGAGCAGAGCTTTCTCATATCCAAATATTCATGGAATATCGCGAACACACTGCCTTCTGATATCTTTGATGCATTAGCTATCTCTTTTAATTTAAATTTGCGTTCGGCCAATACAATTTTTTGGATTTTGGCGATATTTTCTGGCGTAACTGCTGTTTTTGGGCGACCGCTAGGGTCAGCGTCTTCGGTGTCCACACGACAACGTTTAAATTCATTGTACCAGTCCTTGATGGTTGATTTTCCTGGAGAAGATTCCGGGTAATGCTTATCAAGCCAAATTTTGGCTTCTACCGTATTTTTTCCAATCAAAAAACAGTGTTTAATGAGGACACGAAATTCTTTTTTTTCCATATTGTAGAAAAACTCAAAGGTTGTTTCACTTTAAAATTTATAACTTGAAAACACGTGGTCGCAGAGTTGTAAAATTTGTACACAAAGCTTATGATAAAAGACACTATCAATAAAAAATATCGATGTTTGGTTACTACTGCCCCGTATATGTCAGGCCGGGAACTTATTGAGTGGTGTGGTAAATAGCTAGGACAAAGGCTTTAAGGCTTAGGTAATGGCATTAAAGACGACCCCCATGAGAAGGCAAAACCGGGCACGTTCAGCCAGCCAAGAGTCAATTAAAATTTCTATTTGATTTGGCAAATGTCAGTGGCAGGACAGACCAGGCTGTCGTTGGAAAGTTCCAGGACTTACAGGAGCAGGAGACTATAGTACGTGGCCCACCAGTTGTGTACATAACCCTAGCCATTGTGCTGACCAACTGCCAACAGCAGCAGTCCAGACAGATAAGACCAGCTCGAAATTGGCTACAGGTAGACAGAGTAAACACAGGAGGGCGTTCGTAGAGGGCGTTCTTAAAAGGAATTTCGCAATTAAGAATGGCCACAGAATTAAACACATTTTAAGTTATTAGTTTTGGGGAAATTAAAAGGATTTATTATGGTATTGAAGTTCTCTTTATTATTTGTGTCTTCTTATTTATTCGCATCATCACAAAACCAAACCAGAATCCTTAAGGTAGAATAGGTGCTAAATTCCAACTCGAAACGAATGGACTTTTCTGTGGAACATCCTTGAACAAGCGATTGGCATGACGACGCTGTTGGGTAAACGAACTCAATGGCCAAGGCAGCCATTGCACAGATAAGCTGAAGGGAAAATAAACTGAAATTGAGTGCAGGTCGGAATTGGAAAAGGGGTGAGAGAAGCTGCTCCCTATTTTATATATATTTTTGATTTTTATATGTAGAGCAAGCGCAGTGAACCACAATACTTGCTAAATCAAAAAGAGGCGTAAAACTAATTTCGAACAGTGCAAAGCCGCCATGCGAAATTGCAACGTTCTATAATTTATGGGGCCCATACACGGTGCACCGGTATAAATACATAAAAAAAGGCACTATAACAAAAGCAGAATAGCTGGCGAAATTTATGACTTGTGGTTGCTGCCTGGCATCCCAACAGGGTCACGCGTACACACCTGTACCTATGTGTATATTCGCGATAAAAACTTTCTCTGGCGAAATGTGGCCCGAAAAGTATGCTACAATAAAGTTTAGTCAGTTGGATACGTACAGCGATATTAGCAGATCATTGTGAAAAAGCCCTGATAAAACATAACTCCTGGGAAATATATGCTGGGAAATAAATTAATTCGGACTTTGGTGATTTCAGCAGGGTCATTAATTAGGGTTTTGCTGGAATGGTTAGAATACTAGAGCAGAAAAATATACATATTGAAACTATCTGTAACGTTACTAACTAAATTCGCCATGCTAAGGCCGAACTAATTAAAATTTTACAGCTTAGTTAGACTTTTCCAAACTGAAAGTCACTTCAGTAGCTTCTAGAATCAAACTCTGGCTAGAATGACTTTAAAATATATTCACCTTGTATTTTATAGCTTACTAGCTTTAGCTTCTTCGGATTTAGATTTTTCCAAAATAGATTGTTCTGTAAATGGCACCCTGGCCAAGTGTCCCACTCCCTGTCCCGATACTTGTGAATTTGTGAGCAGAACCTGCATCCATAAATGTGGCGGACCTTGTGTCTGCAAAGAAGGCTATATTATCGATGGCGATCGTCATATCTGTGTCTTGAAATCAGACTGTCCAGCGGAAATAAAGCAAATCACAATTGACAGGCACTATCCGGTGAATATCAAATACTTTGGTTCCTCTATGCTGTTCAATTTTACGGATTACAAAAGGATAGAAGTACTGCCAACTAGTACATAAAATATTAAAAATTATATATAAATAGAAACAAACTTTCTTTGTTAATTTTGTTTATTTTTTAAAGAGTTTCATTGCCGCTAAAGTTGAGTTTAAAAGCGACTTACATATGAGAGAGTTTTAAGCTCTTTAAGCCACCTTTGTGGATGGCGCAGTCTGCTTTTGGGCTGTTTTGTTGGTCCTGGTCTTTTGGCCCTGTCGCTTGGCACCCGTTGTCCGCTTGTTGCCACTTCGCTTGGATGCAGTGCGTCGGCGCTTGCCACCACGTCCACGCTTGCCTTTGCCACCGCAGCGGCGGTTGCCACGTCTACGGTTCTTGCGGCCACGACCCTTGCGGCCGCCCCTGCGTCGGGAGCTGCGCCGTCTGCCACGAGCCTCTGCTCGAGGTAGAACCAGCTCCTGCTCTAGTTCCTCCTCCTCCTCCTGCTCGTTTTCCAGTTCCTCCAGATCCTGGTTTTCATCCTGTTCCTCTTGCTCAGCCACCTTCGTCTCCGTCTTGGCGGCGGCAGTGTCTACTTTCTTGGCGGCCAATACCTCCTCCAGTTTGTTGTCAATTTCTTCCTCCTCCTCCTCATCCTGATCTTCAGGATCATTGCCGACATCCTCTTCGTGCTCCAGGATATCATCACCATCCTCTTCATCCTGGGCAATGGCATAGTATCTGGAATTCAGGCGCTGGAGATCCCGATCGCGGAGCGTGGCTCTAGCCTGGACGCCTTGCTGATGCCTGGGCTTGGCCAAGCTGCCTGTGCCAATACTGAGCAGGGCCACCAGGGCCACGAGTAGAAGCCACTTCGAAGACATGGCTGATGGATGCGTTCTGTTGCTGCACTACCCGCAGGCCATGGCTTTTATGGCCCCCAAGAACTAGAGCTTCCCCGACGGCTGTGTCAATAGCCAAAGATACCATTGTTTGACTTGGGAAAGTGGGCCTCCCGAAAAAGCCGGTTGTTGGTGTTATCAGGAACAGCACTTCTGACACCTTCTTATTTATGCTCTAAGCAAATTTAAATTAGTTTTTTATTGTTTACCCCAAGTTAGGAACAGCTTCGACCCGGCTCTGGCTAATGATGCAGTGCCCCCCGAGTCACGTACTATAAGTTGGCCCACAACAGTTGCTGCTCCCGGCAATATTGCTCGCTCCGTTGTTAATGTTTAATTGTAGGCACGTACCACAGAGCTACTACAACAACTGCATAAACATTGGAATTATCTGACATTTTCCGGAAAGCTAGCTGAAAGGGAGCTGGGAGTGGCAGTGGGTGGTTGGGTGGGTGTTGGTATGTTGGTGGATTCCCTGGATTTGTGGTCCGACCGGCGTTAACACGTCTCCACTCTGCATATTTAATGGAAAAATAATTTGGCAACCTTTCTGTATGGGGCCACAGCTGTGGATCAAGTGATTGAAATTAGAATTATTCTGATATAATTTATGTGAGCGTGCGTTGATTGACGATTTGAAATATGTGTCTGCATTATATTAGAATTGTTCATGAGAAAATATGTGAATTATTTAAATTATGCAATGTTTTTGTTACTGGTTATTGATATAAAAGTGGGCTTTAATAGCTTGGGGACTCTTTTGGGGATGTATTATTTATTATTTCGGTTATTCAAGGACTTTAGTAAAAGGAGGGGATTTAAAAAGCCTCTCAATTGGCCTTATTCCTTTTCTAGATTTAAAATCGAGAGCAATTTTTCTTCTTTTAAGCTAGCTTTCCTCCTCGTTCTCTGTCTTCTATGTCTTGCCTGCAATGTACAAGCAAATAAGTAATGAAAGCACTCAGAAACGAACGAGAGAGTCGCAGCCGCTCTTTTATTTTATTTCTAGTCCTGAGAGCAAAACCAAAAGAATATTAAGCTTGAGCCTAGCTCAACTTTTAAATTCTAAATGTAAAATATGTAAAACTCTGCTAATATAATGAGCACTCAAAGGCTCCAAAGAACCCTCTTGCCGCAACACAACACTGAGAGATTACCATAATTGCTTCAATGCCACACACACACTCACATTCACTCTGCCAGACGGACGATTCATTACAAATCCAACTCTGACAGAGACCCAAATGATTTAATGGCCGCCTCGATATTCTCGTTTCCACGTTTCTTCATGTCAAATCGCAACGAGTGACCATTATTCCGTCATCTATCCGATTGCAGGTCCCTGTCCAGCCTCGTACTTCACATGCAACGATGGATTCTGCATACCGATGCGCTGGCGGTGCGACTCGAAGGCCGACTGTCCGGACAGGTCTGATGAGAGCAGCGAGTGCGGTGAGTATTCAATGGGTTTCCCACTTTTTCCATATACCCATAGCATACCCAATTCTCAATCCCCTACCGATCCCGGCTTCCCGCTGGGGACATTAGCAGTCGGTGATTGCTTTATTATTGGTTTGACTGTTCGGTCGGTACATTCCCCGGGTGTCCCCTCTAATGACAGGTGGGCTGTGTGGCTATGGCCAGGACTAAAAATTCACCGCAAATACATGGCCAAAAGCATTCGACCCTTCGGCCAGCCCAGGGAATGGGGGGGGTAAAAACCAAAACGGGGCCGTAGCAAATGCAATTAGTTGGCAAAACCATTTTGGGGCCATCCGGCAAATCCGTAAATTGAAAGCCCAAGCCTAGGGACTGACTTTAAAAGCCAAGTCTGGTCGAGTGTCAGTGGACAGTGGATTCTGGCGATTGTCCTTAATTTCCTTGAGGGATGATAAGTGGACAAAGCTAAATAAATGTGTAGACATTTTTATTCTCTTCTTGTTTTGCCCAATAAAGGCAACGAGCTGCAACAATTGCTTTTCCTGCTGCTGCTGCTGGCCCAGAGAGTTCCTCTGGCATTTTTAATTTAATTTTTATGGCACTGCAGAAGGACAGAGAGAGAGAGAGAGAGAGAGAACGACAACTCAGACGACAAATTGTCGGCAAATATTAATGCAACAGATTATAATAAATGTGCCTGGCACATCGTTGTCATCCACATTTGCCAAACTCCTCCTTCCTGCTGATGCTCCTCTTTCGCTCCATCAGCTGCCTTCCGCGCAATTTCAATTAAACTGAACTGAATGCAGGCACACACACATATACATGTATACATATGCACTTTATAAAGTGTTGTCGCTTATATATATATGTATAAAAGTCTCTTGATATATTGCATTTAAACTGGCCTCGTTACACTAGCGACAAAAAAGTTTCCTCGGCCAAGCGAACAACGTATGCGATCCTCTTGAAAAATATATTTTTTATTCAAATTTATGCGTAACTTTTAAATGTGCTGCTTGACTTAAATGTGCTCTAGTGGGTTCAAAAAGTGTGAATATTTGAGATTTAACTAGATTATTGTTTGCAGTTTTAATGGAATTAGTTAGAGTCAAGTCCTGGGGGTACATATCAAGCGTTAAAATGATAACTAAATAAATAAAAATCGTTCAGTTTCAATCGTCTCTTATTGTGTTTCAATTTATTCACACTTTTCAAGTGTATCAACTTTTATGAGGTCTCTCTTTCCTTCAGAGATGACTTCAAATGGAATGTTTCCATACTGCTGCCGACATTACCGACACCATATTATAATATTTCCCCTGTTTTCCTAGACTCTGTCGTCGTACATTTGTGCTGCTTGTGAGATGCAAATTGCTTGACACAAATAAAAGGAATATATATTCGCACGAGCAGAAGAAGAATTCAAATAACGCGTTGTATTCTCTCCGCATCGGAGGTCCAAATCAGAGGCAGAGCAATGACAATGCCATGACAGCGGGACTGGGTGCAGAGTGGGTGGTCGGTCGTCTCCTTGGTTGGGAAGTAACCAAGTGAAGCACCAACACAAAGAGCCCTGACATCCGACCGACATGCGCGACTATAACCATAAAAGCCACATTGGCGACACATGGGAACGGCCAAAAAATATTTTCCTTGCCAAGAGGTTAAACTCCAGAGACAGCCATTGGACGTGTCCATGTCTCCGCCGGCTTCCCCTTACTTCCGTATTCCCGTATTCGCGGGGCAATTTGCATGCCCCGTGTGCCGCGGAGTGGGGTCGCACACGGATATAATACGTAATAAGCCCAAGGGCATGCAGTCACGGAGTCCAGAGCAAAGTTTAAATTTTTTATTTTTCTCGCCGGAGAGCAGCAAGAAAAAACAACACACACACAAAACGAATCCGCGACCAGGAATTTTTGTCAAGGCTAGCAGGGAGGGAGGACCCCCAAGCTGACCAAAAGTGGGAGCCCAGCATTTATTTAATCAACTCTCGCCCTCTCGAAAATGGTCAAAAATGATGCTGCTGCTCCTGCTGCTGCTTGGTGCCCCGGCAATTGTTAAACATTTTCAAGTGCCACAGGGAGTTCAACTAACTGGAAGCAAAGTCAACCCAAAAATTAACTGGCCATCTAGCGGAGCGTATTTGTCACACTTTTTTTTTTTCCTCATGGTCTTTTGAGGGTTGGCCATTGTCACCCCCTAAAATGGGAATACGAAACAGGGTCCTTTATTAAGAGTGGAGCTAATTGGGTAATGGCAGTCATGAGCAGAAGGAAGGCCAGGAAACGGCAGGATATTTAACAATTTAGAAAGCTAGCCAGGCATCTGGAACGGAACTAATTTTTTTTCTATTAGAAATATGACTCAGGGAACTTGATAAATAGGTTTTTATGGATATTACTCGAGCTAAGGCTTAATATAGTTAAGAAATTGGGAAAACAGTAGATCTAAATATCCCTTTTCTTAGCTTTAATTACTTTATAAGTTGGAGATACCTTTCTCATAGTATTATGTGGTAAAGTTTCCTTTTAAAATATACTATATATCCTCGTTCTAAATCCCCGAATCCCCTGACAACACTATTGATGACACTTTTCTCTGCCTTGGCCCAAAAAAGTGCTGGTTTAGCACAGTTATTTTTAGGATTTTTCCACTTAAAGTGCGAGTTAAAACTTTTATATCTGCCGAAAGTTCGCCAGGACTGCTCTTGTTTGCGTTTTATTTACGATATCTCGCGAAATAATTCAACGATTTGTACGAACAACAGAGCAGCAGCGGCAGCAAAAGCAGCAGCAACTTTCGGTGGCCGAAATGCGAACCACTAACAAACCCGTCCATAAATCTTCATTTCGGTTATTGTTATTGCACGGGAGTGTGTACTGAGCTTGTTCCTTCCTTCTCCTTCCAGCCAAGGCGCCCAAGTGCAACGAGGGACAGTTTCGGTGCGGGCACAGCCGCCAGTGCATACCGGATAACTGGCTATGCGATGGCGAATACGACTGCGGCAAGGGCGACACATCCGATGAGACCAACTGTGAGTAAGCCAAAACCCACCCATTGACCCACTGAATCCATATTCGTATCCCCTCTCTCGTGTGAATAGGTCCCAATGGAGCAGCGCCCAAGTGCCGGGCCTTTGAGAGCGAGTGTCGCAATGGCGACTGCCTGGAGTTGTCCCGCTTCTGTGATGGCCACTGGGACTGTGATAATGATGAGCTGCAATGTGGTAAGATAAGCATCCTTAGGAAATATATCAATTAGAAACTAATTAATAACCTTAAAGTATCTGTCAGATATAAATGCAATTAAAAGTGAATTATTTCCCTCGAAAAGGAAGGCTTGTTTTCCTCCACAAATACCTTCCAATAAATTCCCAAAAAAATGTAATGATATTTTTCCCACAGATAAACAGAACGCGGCCTGCGCCGCCCTGAACTGCAGCTACAACTGCAAGCTAACCCCGCAGGGGCCTCGCTGCTACTGCCCCAAGGGTCAGGTATCCGAGTCGGCCAACTCCACCCGCTGTGTGGACTACGATGAGTGCACCGAGCCCGGCACTTGCGACCAGGTGTGCCGCAATACGCCGGGCTCCTACGAATGCTCCTGCGTTTCCGGCTATGCCAAGTCCAAGGGAAGGCGCTGCCGGGCCATCAATGGTAATGGAACAACCGAAAAGAAAACATTCCTGTCAAGGACCCTGCTAATCCCACTCAATTTATAGTGCCACCCTCGGAGCCGGCAACGCTGACTCTGCTATCGCAGGGCAACATCCGGCGTATCGGAACCAATGGCGAAGTCATCGGCCCCAGTCCTGCCCCGTGGGGAAAGGATAAAGATGGGGGCACGGATAAGGAGAAGGACAAGGAGGACGCCATTGTAGGTAGCCAGCTACTGTCCACGCATTCGGCGCGCTTTGTCCACGCCTTCGAGGTGTGGCACCGGAACCGTACCCTCTGCGCCCTGCACAACAGCTGGCACGAGCTCCTGATGCAGTGCCAGCGCATCGATGATGACCGGGTCAACTGGACTCTGCCCATTTCCTCGTTCATCTCGGCGCAACAATGTGAGTCTCCGCGGGGGATTGTCTGGCCCCGAAAAGGGGAAGAAGGAGAGACGAGACTCTTATCTCGACCCGAGTCCTGTTTTCATTGTTTGTTCTTCCTTCGCAGTTTTTTCGGAGATGCGGCTGGACTGGCTGGCGGGTAATTGGTATTTGCTGAACGAGGACGACGGCCTGGTCTATCTGTGCACCAATGCGATGACCCAGTGCCGGCTGATACTGCAGCAGGTGGAGCACATCTCCTCGCTGGTTCTGGACCCCACCAAGGGCTATCTGTTTACCACGGACTCCACGCCCAGTCTGTCGCGGTCGCTGCTTGACGGCAGCAATCGCACGGTTTTGGTCACCGAGCAGATATATCATCCCAGCAGCATTGCCCTGGATCTGGCCAATGAGTTGGTTTACTGGATTGATATCTACAAGGATGTCATAGAGCGTGTGAATTACGAGGGGCAGAATCGTTGGACTCTTAAAAAGTCACCAGATGTGAGTGAAATTTAAGAATTTAATTTACACGTACTATTATTATCATAATTTTAGTCAGGGAATTCCAACTTCGGCTTCTCGAAGTTAGCTTCTATTCTTGTTTTATTATCAAATGCAATTACCCAGGAGAGGGAGCTCTCTCTCTCTCTGTTTATGTGGCTTTTTAATAACCTTTTTAGAGAGCCGTAAGCCACATCTAGTTCCAGGCATCATATGGCGTTATGCATCTTATTCTTTTTATAGTCATTGTTAGTCATTATTCCATTAACTTTAGGGCTTAAAATTAACCATTTCTACGCCTGTAAATTTTTTATTTATAAACTCAACATATAGCATACTTTTCTGTTGGCTTTTTAACCCCTACAAATTGCTGCTTCTTCCCTTTGCAGTCTCCCGTTCCTTTAAAAACCATCCATGCCCTGGAAGTCTTTGAAAACACCATATATTTGGCTCCTTGGATGGACAACGCTATCGTTACCCTTGACAAATTTACGCTCAAGGCTCGCGTCCTCGTCCCGGATGTGAATCGTGGTGCCAATTTCCGCATTTTCCACCGCCAAAAACAGCCGGAGGTAGCCCATCCGTGCCGGGATAACAACGCTGGCTGCAACCAGATTTGTGTGCCGCAATGGACCCGCGGCTTTGCCAGCGCCAAATGCCTCTGCACCGCCGGCTATAAGCTGCACAATCAGACCACCTGCCTGCTATCCGCTCTGGACAAGTTCCTGGTCTACACGGATAAGCAATTGGCCAGGATTACGGGCGTGCCGCTGGACACTGAGCAAGTGCATCGATTGCAGCAGATTGGCGAGCAACCGGATGTTATGGTGCCTGTGCACAATGTCTCCTTGACGTCCAGCATTGATGTGAGTGTGCGTGGCAAGTCGGTGTTTTATGTGGTACCCGATGCCGATGTCAGTCCCATTGGGGATGAGGAGCACACGTGCAGTATACGAAGTCAGTCGCTGAATGGAAGCGTCTCTCGATTACTGGTCAGCGGTTTGGATAAGGTTCATGCCTTGGCCTTTGACTGGATCAATGAGCATCTGTACTGGTCTAGTCACAGGAAGTTGCAGGTGGCTCCGCTGAGGAATATGAGCAAGGTTCTGACCTTTAACATGGACTGCGATGTGATGTAAGTTTATCAGCTTCTCTTACTGGAGATCATAGATTAATCTCTTAATTAAAGGTCCCTGGAGCTGGATCCCATCACAGGCCTCCTCTACTGGACTCAGTGGGAGTCGCAGACCTGTGAGGCCGGGATCTACAGCGCTTGGATGGATGGCACTCACAAAGAGCTGCTGGCCAAGGCCACCACTACCATGCCCATGCGTTGGCCTCGCAGTTTAGATGTGGATAGACGCACCAAAGAGCTGTACTGGTGCGACTTTCGGCTGGGCTCCATCGAGCTGATGAAGCTGGATGGAACTGGCAGGGAGCTACTCTTCAAGTCCGACCAATTTCATCCTTACTCCATGGTGCAAAACAATGGACTGATCTATTGGGTGGACCACATCAACTCTACTATCTGGCGCTTCCATGCCCATCAGGCGAACCTCTCCAGCACGTTTAGTTCCACGGTGCATCTCCAACGAACTGGACGAGGAGCTGACCTCAGGATCTTTGATTTGGCTACCCAACCCCTGCCCCAGACGCCCAGTGCTTGTGCGCAGTCCAAGTGCCCGGGCATGTGCCTGAACACTCCAAAGGGAGCTATATGCCGGTGTCCAGATGGCTTCACTCTTAATGGCACTGGAAGCCACTGCATACCTCAGTTGGCTCCTTCACCCATTCGTCCCAATTGCACTTCGGGTTTCATGTGTCGGAGCACGAGGCAGTGCATCGATGGCAAGGACATGTGTGATGGCTTCGAGGACTGTGAAGATGGCATTGACGAAAGCAGCGATTCGCGAGGTCCTTGTAATCCACTAACCTGCGATAAGACCCTGCACTTTGTGTGCAATGGACGCTGCTATCAGAGATCCCTTCTCTGTAGCTCCATTGCCTACTGCTCGGATGGTTCTGACCAGCTGAACTGCGAGCACAGCACCTGCAATAGCAATGAGTTCACCTGCCAGAAGAGCGGTCGCTGCATACAGATGGCCTGGGTGAATGATGGAGTGATTGATTGCGGGCCGGATGACGACTCGGATGAGTCGGCGGAGATCTTCTTTGGCAGCAAGTGTCCGGAGTTGGATTGTGGCAATGGCAGGTGTCGCCAGTTTGCTGATGTCTGCGATGGCATAGATAATTGCGGGTAAGTTGGGTTGTTTATTTACTTTGAAAAAGCTTTATTTTGATCATTTTTCTCTTTAGAAACAATGCCGATGAGACAGACTGCGAGCAGGAGTGTGGTCATGGCGAAAAGTATTGCCGCCCCATTGGCTGCTACGGGGAGATGACCATGTGCGATGGCATTCACGACTGCGAGGACTCTAGCGACGAGGCTAATTGTAATCAAACCAAGAGCGACAATCATCCTTTAACTGGCTGGAAGGAGCTGACCGAGTGTGCTCCTCTGGAGTTTGCCTGCCAGGATCCTTTCGAGTGCATTCCCGACTTCCTGCGCTGCGATGGCATCCCCCATTGCTTTGACAAAACAGACGAGCTCAATTGCACGCACATCAATGCCACCCGCTTTGATCTCAATGAGACGGTGATCTGTGAGCATCCCGACCGGCTTTGCGGCTTTAGCAGGCAGTGTGTGACCGTAGATCAGCTGTGCGATGGCAAAAACGACTGCGAGGACACCACAGACGAGGGTTTCCTGTGCGCTGATAAGCTTTGCGAACGCAACCACGAGTGCTCACATCACTGCCATAATACGCCGGAAGGCTACATCTGCTCTTGTCCGGATCATTTGTACTTACAGCCGAATGGCAAGCGCTGCAGCATGCAACATGCCTGCGATCATTGGGACACCTGTTCGCAGGTCTGCGAGAGCAGCGGCAAGGGCTACGAGTGTCATTGCTTGAAGGGATTCGATTTGGCTTACGACAAGTTCACCTGCAAGAGCACTGCCCCGGATGAGCCTTATGTGATCTTTACGAACCGCCAGGACATCAAGGGCATTGACCTGAAGACCCTGAATGTTGGCAATTTCTACACCTCCCAAAGAAACATTATTGCCTTGGATTTCCTTTATGTCAACGAGTCCAACATTGAGATCTACTGGACAGATGTGATTGATGACAAGATATATAGGGGCCAACTGATGGGTGAGAGTCTGCGGAATGTGGAGGCGGTTATCCACTCTGGTCTGTCCACCACCGAGGGCCTGGCCGTGGACTGGGTGGGCAAGAACCTGTACTGGATAGACTCTAATCTTGACCAAATAGAGGTGGCCAAGCTGAATGGCAGCTTCAGGCGCACTCTGATAGCAGGCAGCATGGAGAGTCCTCGGGCTATAGCGCTAGATCCACGTGAGGGTTTGCTCTTCTGGACCGACTGGGATGACAACTCGCCGCGCATTGAGCGGGCCAGTATGTCGGGCGAGGGCAGGCGCATGATCTCCACCAGCTGGCAGCTAAGTGCCGGCTGGCCCAATGGCCTTACCCTGGACTATACCCAAAAGCGTGTCTATTGGGTGGATGCCAAATCCGACTCGATTAGCAGCACTTTATACGATGGCTCCGAGCATCATATAGTGCTGCGCAACAAGGACATACTCTCGCATCCTTTTGCCATATCCGTCTTTGAGAATTATGTTTACTGGACGGATTGGAGAACTACATCAGTTATAAGGGCCAACAAGTGGAACGGCAGCGATGTTCAGGTGCTGCAGCGCACTCAGTCGCAGCCCTTTGGCATTCAGGTTCTCCACTCGAGCCGTCAGCCCTGGGATAAGAATCCCTGTGGGGACAACAACGGTGGCTGCTCGCATTTGTGTCTGCTGAGTGGAAAGGGGACCTTCAAGTGCGAGTGTCCCCATGTGATGCGTCTGGATCCCAGCAATGAACGCAACTGTATTCCCAACGAGCAAGTGCTGCTCTTTGTGATGGTGGACGAGATCCGGGGCATAGATCTTCATCAGCCCAATCATCATACCATTCCCACAATCAGGCAGTCACCAAGGGTAAGTGGGAATCTCTTTATTTCTTTATTTATTTCTCTATTGAAACTTTAACTTCTCTTGTTAGTTGGTGGCTCCCCAACGCATTGACTTCCTGGTGGACGAGAGTCGCATCTTCTGGTCGGACATCCAGCAGAATGAGATCTCCAGCGCTGGCATCTCCAATGGTCTGATTGAACCCATCATCAACACCAACATAGAGAAGCCCTATGGCTTTGCCATTGACTGGATTGGCAGGAACATGTACTTTTCCTCGGGTCAGATCAAGTGCAATATCCTGGCGAGTAACCTGAAGGGAGAGTATGTAACCCACATTCATGAGGACCTCAATATGGTGGACAGCATTGTCCTGGATCCTGCCAAGTAAGTTATCTTATCTCTCTAGGAAAATATCAAGCATATTCTTATAATTTTCTTTCCAGTGGCAAAATGTACTGGATTCACACCGCCTCCGATGGTAGCTTTTCCCAGCTGGAGCAGTCCAATCTGGATGGCTCCGGCCGTGCCTTGATCTATGAACACAAGCACAGCCTCCAGAGTTTGACCATGGACTTTGACTCGCAGAGATTGTACTATGCCTATGATAACTCTGGGATTGCCTATTACGATATCCCCAGGAATGAGACCAGAAAGGTTCTAGTGGCCAGTCAGATCACCTCGGTCAGTTCACTCACGGTCTATAATGGAACGTTGTACTTCCCGGAGAATATACAGAGTGTGATTATGCAGTGCGAGAAGGAGGCCTGCTCCAATATGTCCTACTTGAGGGTCAATACGAGTAAGTCAGACTTAAAACTTAATGAATCTTTGTGTTTATCATGACTTTTCCCATTTCCAGAGACCATTCAGAGCATGAAGATGTTCTATGCAGATGCCCAGACAGGCACGAATACCTGTGCTGGACCTCTGCGTGGTGGTTGCCAGCACTTGTGCCTGGCCATCTCAGCCACGGATCATGTGTGCCGCTGTGCCCTGGGCTATGATGTAGAGCCCAAGAACCCCACGCATTGTATTCCAAGAGCAGAGTTCATTTTCTACTCCATTGATGTGCTGCAGGGCGTGGAGATGATTGATCCCTCGGAGGAGTTTGATCAGCCAGCAGCGGTAAGGAAGATCTTACATAAAACCCTTCTATAAATCCCTTAAATATAATAAATAACCTTTTACAGGCTCTGGTTCCCATTTCCCGGGTGAGCTCGGCCAGCTTTATCGAGTACTTGGCCGCCACGGACACTCTCTACTGGGGTGACAATGAACTGGGCAGCATCTCCCGTGTCAAGCGCGATGGCACTCAAAGGGAGACCATCCTAGAGGCCATCAATCTGGCTGGCTACAAGCAACAGGACTGGCTCGGAGGCATTGCCATTGACTGGGTGGCCGGCAACATCTACTGGAGCGACACTAAGCGCAATCTTATAGAGGTTGCCCGCTTAGATGGCAGCCATCGCTATGTGGTGGTCTCCAACCTGGACAAACCCACCTCCCTGGCGGTGGACCCTCAGCAGGGCCTGCTCTTCTATGTGACCCAGCAGCATATTGGACGTGTGGGTCTGGATGGCAGCCAGGCATTTATCCTGGTCAACCAGACGCGGGCCAACTGGGCCGTGGGCAGCCTGGTGCTGGACATTGAAGCCACCAAGGTGTACTGGTGCGAGCGTAATCCCGATGCCTTGATGAAGGTGGATTACGATGGGAATCTAAGGCAGCAGCTAATGAACTTGACCCTCAATAACCCAGTGGCTCTGGCCAAAATGGGTGACTATCTGTACTGGGCGGAGAACAAATACAACGAGGGAACCATTCGAGTGGCCCCGCTGGCTAATCTCAGCAGGTCAAAGGTTATCCTGGAGACAGAGCAGGATGCCATTAGGGATTTGAAGATTTACTCGAAGCGTATACAGCGCGGCACTAATCCCTGTGCCCAGAGCAATGGCGGCTGTGAGCAACTCTGCCTGTTCAACGGCACCAGCCCAATCTGTGCCTGCGCCCACAGTCGCCTGGCGGCGGATGGAGTCACCTGTGAACCCTACGAGAATTTCTTGCTGTTTAGCTATCGCAGTAACATCGAGAGCATCCACATGACGGAGCACTCCAACAAGAACTGGCCAGTGCAAATGATATCCAACAGCAGCGTAATGAGGAACGTGATTGCCTTGAGCTACAACTACGAGGAGCAGCTGGTGTACTACTCGGATGTCCAGCTGAGCACCATCAACCAGGTGCACTTTAATGGCAGTGGTCAGCGCGAGCTGGTGGGTCAGCAGGAGCGAGTTGAGGGTCTGGCCTATGACATGGTCAATGAGCAGCTTTTCTGGACTTCAAATAATAATAATGCTGTCATACGCAGTGTGGAGCTGCGTCACCTCGCTGAGCAGGCGGATCAGAATCAAAAGCATGTGAAAAACGTGCTAAATCTCCGGGAGAAGGACAAGCCGCGTGGTATTGCTGTAGAGCCCTGCCTGGGCATGATCTACTGGACCAACTGGAACGAAGAGTCGCCCTGCATTCAGCGCTCATACCTCACGGGTTACGGTATAGAGATGATTATAAAGAAGGACATCAAGATGCCAAATGCCTTGACCCTAGACCTGGAGCAGCAGAAACTGTACTGGGCGGATGCCAGGCTGGACAAAATCGAGCGCACCAACTACGATGGCAGCAACCGGGTGGTGTTGGCTCATTCCACGCCAAAGCATGCCTTTGCGATGGCTGTGTACGGAGATCTACTCTTCTGGACGGATTGGGTGCTCCATGCAGTGGTAAGAGCCAACAAGTACACCGGCACCGATGTCCTGTTCCTCCGGGAGCATGTAACCCGCCCAATGGGCATAGTGGCGGTGCAGAACACCAGCATCAACTGCGATGCCAATCAGTGTAAAATCCTGAATGGCCAATGCGAGGATGTGTGCATCCTAAATGCCAGCGGCCAGGCCACTTGCCACTGCACTCAGGGCATCCTCGCACCCGATGGACGCCGCTGCATTGCCCCCGTGAATACAAGCTGCGGCTCCCTGCAGTACAACTGCCACTCTGGTGAGTGCATCCCCATGGAGCTGACCTGCGACAATGTAACCCACTGCGCCGATGGCTCTGATGAGTGGCGCAGCTACTGCATCTTCCGGCAATGCCCAGACACCCACTTCATGTGCCAGAACCATCGCTGCATACCCAAGGAACACAAGTGCGATGGCCTGCAGCAGTGTGGCGATGGCAGCGATGAGACCAAGCTGCTCTGCAAGTGCCCGCAGGATCAGTTCCGCTGCGGCAGCGGTGAGTGCATCGCGAGGAAGTTTGTGTGCGACAAGATGAAGGATTGCCGGGACTTTAGTGATGAGAAAATGTGTGCTCCCACGCCCTGCGAGGTGGGCAATGTGGCCTTCGAGCACTGCGGCAACAGCACCATCTGCATTATGCCCAGCTGGCGCTGCGATGGGGATGCGGATTGTCCCGATGGAACCGATGAGCTGAACTGCCCGAATCGCACTAATGTTAGCTGCAATGCTGGCCAGTTCAGGTGCGCCACCGGCAGCTGCATATTTGAGGCCTGGCATTGCGATGGCGAGAAGGATTGCTCCGATGGCAGCGATGAGATGGGCTGCCGCCACGAATGCCATGGCAATCAGTTTGCCTGCGACAATGGCTGCATCCCGGCCAGCTGGCAGTGTGACGGGAAGAGCGATTGCGAGGATGGCACGGACGAGGGCCCGCAGTGCCCGAGCCGACCATGTCGACCGCATTTGTTCCAGTGTAAGAGCTCAGGGCGCTGTATACCTCAGAAGTGGGTGTGTGATGGCGAGAAGGATTGTCCCAGCGGCCCGGGGGATACAGGCAGCGAGGATGAGGGTCCCCAGTGTGGCGGCATTGCTCACATTCCCGACTGTCCACCGCCTGCGCATCTCTGCACCAGTGGTTTGTGCATTGACTCCCAGTACGTATGCGATGGCGATGAGGATTGTCCTGGCGGCGACGATGAGTACGAGGGCTGTGTGCCTGCCTTTGCTCCTCACTCCTGTCCAGGCGGATTACTTATGCACCAGTGCCAGGATGGCAAGTGCATCTTAAAGAACCAAACCTGCGACGGCAAGCCGGATTGCGGCGATGGCAGCGACGAGCTACCTAGCCTGTGTGCCCACACCCGCGGATGCAATGGCACGGACGACTTCCGCTGCAAGAACGGAGCCTGCATCAGTGTGGATCTGCTTTGCGATCGGAGGAACGACTGCGCCGACTTCTCTGATGAGGAGCTGTGTAATGTGAACGAGTGCCTCATTCCGGATATCTGCGAGCACGAATGCGAGGACAAGGTGGTGGGCTACAAATGTCATTGCCGACCTGGCTACAAGGTTCTGCCCCAGAGTCCACATCTTTGCACGGATGTCGATGAATGCGACGAGCAGCAGCCCTGCTCCCAGACTTGTGTCAATACCTATGGCTCCTACAAGTGTCTGTGCGCCAAGGGGTACGCCTTGGTTGATCATCACACCTGCAAGGCCACCAGCAATGTGTCCATGGAGCTCATCTTCTCCAATCGTTACTACATACGCCAGGTGAACATGACGGGCAATGGCACTATACTGATCAACGAACTTTCAAATGCCGTGGCTTTGGACTACGACTGGGACAGTCAGTGTCTTTATTGGTCCGATGTGACCAGCACAGTGGGCACCATCAAGAGGCATTGCCCGAAAGAGAACAAGACCCAGACCCTGCACCAGGCCATGCTCAAGAACCCCGATGGCCTGGCCGTGGACTGGGTGGCCAAGAACCTGTACTGGTGCGACAAGGGACTGGACACCATTGAGGTCTCCCAGCTGGATGGCAAGTACAGAAAGGTCCTGATCAACGAGTATCTCCGAGAGCCGCGCGGCATTGCCCTGCATCCTTATCAGCGACACATTTACTGGTCGGATTGGGGCGACAATCCCCACATAGGCAAGGCGGGCATGGATGGCTCCAATCCCAGAATGATCATACGCGAAGGTCTGGGCTGGCCCAACGCTCTCACCATTAGCTTCGAGACGCAGCAGCTGTTCTGGGGCGATGCCCGCGAGGACACCATCTCGGTGAGCGATTTGGATGGCAATCACACGCGACTGCTGCTGGCGAGGAGCATTAATCCCGAACTCAATCTTCACCACATCTTTGCCATTGCCGTGTGGGAGGGTCACATTTACTGGTCAGACTGGGAGACCAAGTCCATTGAGTACTGCAGCATCTTTAGTGGACACAACTGTACCACCTTGATCACCACCATCCACCGACCCATGGACCTAAGGGTGTTCCATCCTTATCGCCAGCAGCAGCCAATGAGCGGCAATCCGTGTCTCAAGGCCAACTGCTCTACGCTGTGTGTCCTGTCGCCGGAAGAGCCCTACTACAAGTGTCTCTGCCCCACGAACTTTGTGCTGGCGGCCGACAATCGCACCTGTCGTGCCAACTGCACGGCTGCCCACTTCGAGTGCGTTAATACTTACAAATGTATTCCATTCTACTGGCGTTGTGATACCCAAGATGACTGCGGCGATGGCAGCGATGAGCCAGAGACCTGTCCGCCCTTCCACTGCGAACCGGGTCAGTATCAGTGCGCCAATAAGAAGTGCATCCATCCGTCGCACATTTGTGATGGCACCAATCAGTGTGGCGATGGCTCCGATGAGCTCAACTGCGACAAGTTCACCTGCTTCGACACGCATCTCAAGTGCGGCGCTACTACCAATACCAGTGCCTTCTGCGTGGACAATGTCAAGCGTTGCGACGGGGTCAGCGACTGTCCTGGTGGAGAAGATGAGGCAGGATGCACGCCGCTTGTTTGCAAGAAGGATCAGTTCCAGTGCGGCAACAACCGGTGCATGCCCTATGTCTGGGTGTGCGATGGCGACATCGATTGTCCTGACAAGTCGGATGAGGCCAACTGTGATAATGTGTCCTGTGGACCCAATGATTTCCAGTAAGTAGCTAAAGATTCTTGTAAAGTCTTGAAAATTAATTTATCTTTAATCTCTCTAGATGCAATTCGGGTCGCTGCATTCCTCTGGCCTGGCGTTGTGACGATGAACCCGACTGTCCCAATGGCGAAGATGAGCCTCCTAGCTGCTTCACCTCTAAGGCCACCTGTGATCCTACCTACTTCAAGTGCAATAACTCCAAGTGCATACCAGGACGCTGGCGTTGTGACTACGAGAATGATTGTGGCGATGGCAGCGACGAGCTTAATTGTCAAATGAGAAACTGCTCTGAAAGCGAGTTCCGTTGCGGAACGGGTAAATGCATCAAGCACAACTACCGTTGTGATGGAGAGATCCATTGTGATGACAGCAGTGACGAGATCAACTGCAACATCACCTGCAAGGAAAAGCAATTCAAGTGCGCCGCCTTCAATACCTGTATTAACACGTAAGAAGCTACTTATTTCTTTTATATATTCATATTTTAATAGCTCTTTCTTAATCCCAGGCAATACCAATGCGATGGCGACGATGACTGCCCCGATGGCTCCGATGAGGTCAACTGCACTTGTCCCTCGGATCATTTTAGCTGCGGCAATGGCAAGTGCATCATGTCCCGCTGGAAATGCGATGGGTGGGACGATTGTCTGGATGGCAGCGATGAAAGCTTTGCCACCTGTGCCCACATCCATTGCCATGCCAATGCCTTCAAGTGCAAGAATCAATTGTGCATCCGAAACTCTGCTCTCTGCGATGGCGTCAACGACTGTGATGAGAAGGAGGATGAGTCGGATGAGGTGTGTGCTGCATTGCCCAAGTGCCGGCATGATCAGTTCCAATGCGAGAATGATGACTGCATTGCCAAGATCTTCCGCTGTGATGGACAGTACAATTGCATTGATGGCTCTGATGAGATGAACTGCCAGCCGCCGGTGTGTGGCTTTGGCAGCTGCTCACAGATTTGCATTGAGAAGAAGGCGGGGCATTTTAATTGCAAGTGCGCCGAGGGCTATCAGAAGGGCACAGCCAAGAATGCCACTTGCCTGGCCTCGGGACCAGATCAGATCTTGTTGCTAGCCTCAGAGCAGGAGTTCAGATTCATACTGCCCGCCAAGCAGGAGGGCACCACTGTGGTGGGCTTCTTCCAGACGGACAGCCTCAAGATTGATGTCTTTGACATCCTAATCAGGCCAAAGGATACGCTGCTGTTCTGGATTGACTCGCATCATGGAAAAGTGCACACCATGAAGATAGCCACGCCGCATGTGGAGGGCACAGGAGTGCGTGTGCGTCGGGATCTCAAGGAGCTTACCGCTTTCAATATTCCGGAACTGGATGATCCCAAGTCACTAGCTGTGGATTGGATTACCCAACGGGTGTACATCATAGACTCGCGACACAATCAGATTCTGGCCACTGATATCGAGGGCAAAAAGTATATATCTTTGGTGTCTACTGGCATGAATCCCACGGATATTGTCTTGGAGCCGGAATCGCGCATTATGATTTGGTCCACATTGGAGAATGGCATCTTGGTTGCCTCCTTGGATGGCAGCAATAAGAAGAGCTTGGTGGAGAGGGATGTAGGTTGGCCTATCAGCCTCTCAATGGATTATCCCACGGGTAGACTCTACTGGGCGGATTATCGCAAGGGAACCATAGAGACATGCCGCCTTAATGGCAAGGATAGAAATGTGGTGCGACGCTTTGGCACGCGGGAGAAGCCGCAGAAGATCGATGTATTCGAGGACTTTTTGTACATCAAGCTGTACGATCAGAGCATCATCAAGATGAACAAGTTTGGCAATGATAATGGCACTTATCTGCTGAAAGGATACCGCTCCTCGGACATAGGCATCTTACATCCCATGAAACAGAATAGGAATAGTAAGTTTCTTGATTCATTTATCATTTTTTAAAGTTACTTAATCACATTTTCTTTGCAGTCACTAATCCCTGCGCCAAGGATCCCTGCAAGCCATCGCGCTCCCTTTGCATACTCTCCTCGGAGGCCGCCAGCGGTTTTAGTTGCCGCTGCCCCGAGGGCTATGTAATGACCGAGGAAGTATGCAAGGCTCATGCGGAAATCCCCGATTATTGTCCGCTTCAGTGCAACCTGGGTACTTGCAAGATCGTGGACCATGTGCCCAAGTGCATCTGCCAGCCGCAGTTTGAGGGAGAGCTTTGCGAGCACTATCGCTGCTCCGGCCATTGTCTGCACTATGGTGTGTGCTCGGTGGCTCCTCAGCTGCCTGGTTCCACGGATCCACCGCCGCTGAAGTGTACCTGTACGGCAGGCTGGTCGGGAGCGAGATGCGAGACCTCCATGCCCGCCTGCCAGAGTCGCTGTCATAATGGAGGATCCTGCCTGCTTTCCGAAACGGAGGGCATGAAATGCAGCTGCCCGAAGCTCTTTACCGGCGAGCAGTGCGAGCACTGTGTGAATCTCACCTGCGAGAACGGCGGCATCTGCCGGGAAACGCTGACGGGCACGCCGCAGTGCGAGTGTCCCGATGGCTTCACGGGAAAGCGTTGCGAGATTGATGAGTGCGCCAACTTCTGCAAGAACGGCGGCGCCTGTGTGATTGGCTCTAAGGGGCAGAGGCAGTGTAAGTGTCTCAGTGGCTTCTATGGCGAGCACTGTGAGTCTAGTTCTTGCCGGGACTTTTGCCAGAATGGAGGAACCTGCTCGGAGCGGGGTGGTCGCCTGTCTTGCACCTGTCCTCCACGCTACATTGGCGAAAGCTGCGAATCGGATCTATGCAAGACCTCCTCGCCGCCGCTCTTCTGTGACACCGCCAAGATACCCGTCAGGGATCCCTGCACCGCCATCATTTGCCAGAACTCGGGAACCTGTCATGTGATCAAGGGCGTGGCTATGTGCAATTGCACGGACCAGTGGAACGGTGACTTTTGCACGATGCCCGTTTCGGATGACAACCCTTGTGTCCGGTACTGTGCAAATGGTGGCGTCTGTCATCTGGATGAGTATGCTTTGCCACACTGCAGCTGCATTGGCGAGTGGCAGGGCAATGCCTGCGAGCTGCCTCCACATTGTGTCGGCGGCGTGTGCAATGTTTGTCGTCCGGGCAGCTCCATTAACGAGTGTCTTTGTGAAAAGAACAGGGTGGTGCCCTGTCTGGTGGACAGTGCCGATGCTCTGAAGGGTGAGCAGGATTCGGCGGAATCAGGTGGAGGCGTCTTCTCGGTTCTGGCGCTCATTCTGGCTGTGATTCTCCTGGTGCTCGTTTTGTTTGCCGGCGCTGTTTACTTCCTAAAGTGAGTTTTCTTTGGAATTTTTGATTTTTAACATTTTAATTAATTAATTTAATTTCGTTAATTAATTAATTTTAATTAATTAATTTAATTTAGTTAATTTATAAATTTTAATTAAATAAATTAATTGAAATTAAACAATTAATTCATTTAATTAATTAATTACAATGAATTAATTTTATTAATTAATTATCATTTATTATTTTAATAATTATTAACTAATTAATGAATTTATTTTATTAATTAATTTTATTAATTAATTATCATTTATTATTTTAATAATTATTAACTAATTAATGAATTTATTTTATTAATTAATGAATTAATTTTATTAATTAACGAATTAATTTTATTAATTAATGAATTAATTTTATTAATTATTTAATTGTTTAATTCTTTTTTATTAATTTAATTATTAACTAATAAATAAAATAATTAACTTAATTATAAAATTAATTAATTATTAATTATTTCTTACAGAAAACATCGCATAGCTCAGCCATTCTCGCATGCTCGTCTCACGGACAACGTGGAGATCATGCTCACCAATGCCATGTATCGTGGCGATGCGGATGAGGCGCCTACCTTTGCCAGTGAAGATGATAAGGTGAGATAGAGAGAGGCCTATAAATCTATCTTTTCTCAATTATTTTGTAAAATAAATCAAATAATAAATATAATTAATTTTATGACACAAATTAATATTAATATAATATTTTCTGTAAATTTCCAGGGCAACTTTGCCAATCCCGTGTACGAATCCATGTACGCGGATGCCATACCGGAACCGGTGAGCTCAGAAATTGCCCACAGCACGGCCCCGGACGAGCGGAAGGGTCTGCTGCAGCACACGCACGACGAGAACCATACGCCGGACATACTCTGATGATTGACCCGCTGCGAACGGGAGCTGTGCTAGGCACAGTCGACGGATATATCCACATCCCAACCCACACTCAATACCGATTTGAACTCGAACAAATGGACTGATAGCTTAGCCATATAACGAATTTTGTAAACGATTTTTTGTGTACATTTTTTTTGTGTATTTTTTTGTTTCCTTTTTTTTAATTAATTTTCGGTTTTTATTTTAATTTCTTTTTGGGCTGACCTATGGCCCTCCTCCATCCAAAGAGCTCTAACTTGGGCAGCCTTGCTCCCCTTTGTTATGTCCCCGAAATGATGATGTCCTTATATATACCTTAGCCGTGAAGTCGGTCAAAAGAAGACGTTCTTGTCATTTGTTTACACGTTTTACAAGCAATGCGCGCCTTTTGATAAATGAATTTTATATATCTATATAGTATATATATCTGTAAATTTTTGTAGTTGGTAGATTTAGTTAAAGCGAGCTGGAGAGGGAAGAGATAAGAGAGAGAACGTTGTAAATATTTTATAAATTTATTGCCGCGCACAAGCAGCAGCCTAGTTAACATTTAGACAGGACAGCCAAGCAAACCATTCGATCAAACACTAACAATTTGCCAACTTAGTGAACAAGAAGGATAACAAAAGGAGTTCGTCTTTTGAGATTGACCAAAAAATGCATTTAAATTAATTTATTAGTCTCTTCAAAAAGAGAGTGAGAAAGCCAGCACAAGAAATAATTATACAAATTAGCAAGAAAATTGCTTAGAAATAATTAAATTCTCACATCATACTTTACACAGTTCAATGTATGTGTAGCAATATTTAGTTTGCACAAAAATTTCCACTCAAACTGAAAGAAACTCACACTTTTCCTGTATAAAATAATGCTCAGACAAAGCCAAATTTTAACAAATATACAATGTAAAAAATCTAACAACTATACAGACATAAAACTATGTATGTTAAGCACTGCAAAAAATATATAAGAAAATTGTAAAAAACCTAAAAATAAATATTCATTAATTCGCAATAATAATAGGCGAGAGTTTTTGCTTAAAGAAATCTAAAGGTTTAGCGGAGGGATTGTAATTATGAATTCTTTTCCCAAGGAATCTCCATCATATCCGCATTTCAATGCCTGGGAAACCAAAAGGAAACACTTTTCCACAAGGAAAATATCTCATATCTTTGGTTGGGTTGCGCAAAGCTGTTCAATCACCGCCATCTCACGCATATATATACCGATAGATACACTTGTTACCCACAAGAAACCCAGATAGGATAGATCTGGGCCCATTCAGCAGGACGACCTATTGGTTTCGAGTCTTTTTGTTCTCTTCTGTGTGAGAAATGCAAGCGATTTGAATTCGCCGATGCACACAGGTACAGGTAGGTAGCCGGAATACATTTCATCCTTTTCTCTGTAGCAGAAAGGCAACGAAAAAGGATCACAGGGGCATATTCAAAGTGCATTGACAGTGTCTGCGTGTGGGAGAGTTCCTGCTAAACTCGGCATGACTCTGTTTTCAGCAGGAATAACTCTATTGTGGCCAAAAGGAATTTGTCTGTGGGAAAAATCTTCGCAGAGCTCTAGAATTGGTTGTTTGTTTGGCAAGTTAATTTGTTAAATGACAATTATATATTCGGGATTTGCAGAGACAAAAGGAATAGGGCAAGAGGCGCTACAGAGACTAACTCTCATGGTAATGGAAAACAAGTTTCTGCACAAGAAATTAACCAAAACAAGAAAGAAAGCTAATTTTGGCCAGCCAAAGTTTGTATACCCTTGCAGGTAACAATTAAAATATATCATAACTAAGCCAAAAATGCATTAATTTCAATTCGGAAAGCAGTTTTGTGTTAGTTTTTATTCGTTTAAAAAAACTGCATACCAAATTTAAAATTGTAAGAAATCAAAATTTTCTGCCATTTTTGCTCATTTTAATGATGTAACCCCTTATCAAATTTCGCAAAAATGGCCAAAAATTCGATTTCTTCCGGACATGTCTAGAAAGATTCGCATGTTAATGCTGATCAAGAATATATATGGTTTATGGGGTTGGAAATGATTCCTTGACTTAGAAAAATATTATTTTGTATTATAAAATCAGATTTTTTATATTAAAAAACTTTTTGATTTTTTTTTAAATTAAAAATATCATAACTCGGCCAAAAGAGCATTGATTTTAAATCGGAAAACTGTTCTGTGCAAGATTTTCTACAGTTAATAAATCTGCATACTTCATTTAAAAGTTTTGAAAATTCAATTTTTTATCAAAATCAACAATTTTAATGATGTAACCCCTTATAAAATATTGCAAAAATGGCCAAAAAATAGATTTCTTCCTGACATATCTAGAAAGATTCCCCTGTTGATGCTGATCAAGAATATATATACTTTATAGGGTCGGAAACGTCTCCTTCACTGCGTTGCAAACTTCTGACTGAAATTATAATACCCTGCAAGGGTATAAAAATAGAAAGAAATTTAAACGGGGGAAGCCGACATTTTATACCCTTGTTGGCTGCAATTGGATCAACGGATAGAATTTAGATTATATACAACTTTTGAAAAGCTTTTCTTTGTTAGTTTTTATTCGATTAATACCCATTATAATTTTAATATTCAAAAATATTTAATTGTTCATCAAATTTTAACTGTTTTAATGATGATATAGGGTCGGCAATGACTCCTTCATCGCCTAGCAACCTTGTTTTTGAATTTTAAATACCCTCCAAGGGTATAAAAGATGAAGCGGAATAGTAAACATTTTCAAGAAATTATACGAAATCAAGGCATTCCCACAGCGATTCCCAAGAAACGAAATCAAGAGTAAAAACAAAAGTGATAGCCGAAACCTCACAGAAAAACTCACATCCCAAGGATTCCTATCCCAGCATCAAATCACAGCGCAAACACGGCGCACAAAGGGCATGAAACCGAAGGATCCGATTCGAGCCGATCCGAAGCAGCGAGACAAGTGGAATGCAAGGCGTACGTAGGACGAACAACCACAAAGCAAACAAGCAAAAGATAAAGGATCTCAAGGATGTGTGGGAAACACACCGAAGAAGACGCGGACAAGTGCAACGGTATTTGGAAATGCAAAAGGATAATAGCGTAAAGAGGAAATGAAAATTATGATAATTCTCCGCGGAGGTGTTGTTGTTTTTCTCACAGCAGGATCGGGTAACAGCAGCGCCGATATGATTGAGTGTGGGAAGTGCCCAGTTTCGTACCGAAGGATCGCAGCATCCGAGGAGGTTCCCTTAGGAGGTGGGGGCGACGCTCGACAGCCACACGCAAGGCAGCCACGCAGCAGGAGTAGGACATGGAACAGGCTGTTGCGGAAGCTATTACGGAAGTGAAATCAAATTTTTAATAAAAAATCAAAAAGAAAAAGGGGAGAAAACGAAAGGGAAATGGGAAGGGAAAAAGGAAGGGGCAGCCGGAAAAATTGAAAATGGGAAATGATGATCTAAATCAATTTGTAGATGGCCATATTATTTTAAAACTTCCTACACTTGAACAAGGAAATTCTAGACGGTAAAAATATTTTATAGGTTTTATAAATAACTAGTTAATTAATGCTTAATTTATAATTAAGAACTGTAACAGCTACAAAAATTCCCCTTCTGTTGCTTCTGTGGAGCACATGAGATATCGGAAATAAACTACTCATCTTTTAGATTACTCAGACAATAATAAATAATATTATAAAAATGTAGTTCCCTTTATGTTTTATTATTTAAATCTATTATTTAATAATTTATAATTAAAGTGTACTGCTCAGAAGGTCCCTTCAGCGACATCCACATCATCCTGTGTGTAACCAAACAGTCTCTTGAGCATATTGTAGATAATCATTTGTCGCGTCACTTCCGCCTCGTACTTCATATAGTCCTTGAGACGATTCTGCTTATAGAGCTGATCCAGTAGGTCAAATAGTTCAACTTCCAGGGCTCGCAGTGGCGCTTCCAGCTCCGGGGAGTGAGTTCCAGCAAACAAAGCCTGCATGTAGATGGTGGAGATCTTTTCCAGAGCTGCGTCCAAGGTATTGAGAATGACATCCTGTGGATCGTGCAGGAGCTTGACAGGACCAGTGAGTTTTGGAGAAGCTCGATATTGGTGTAGGATCTCCTCAGGTTCAGGATCGGTGGCCAGACTGATTAGTGGCAAAAGAGCCATAATTAATAGAATATTTAAAGCCTTTCTCAACATGGTAACAATCTTATTTTTTTGCAACAAACTCTAAACTCTACACGCCTGAAAATCACTGCGTGCTTGCGTCTGTAATAACTTTTGTTTTCCAACTAAATTCCTAAATTCCAACTAAATGAGTTTTCCAAGCTTATATAGTCTCTCGAAATAAGCTATAGATTGGCTTATCGGGTTCGTAAATCATTAAAAATATGTTGAATGTGCATTTATGGGTAGCAGCAAGGCTTTTTCCGCGTACACTATCAGTTGATTTCCGATTTTCCAATGCCAAGTACCCACATTTCCCCCTCAAATAACCTTTCTCCAATCAATTCTCATCTTGTTTGTCATTTATTATTATTATTTTCACTCTTTTTGAATTCTTTTAAACATTAAAATTACAATCTATTACAAATAAAACACTAAAATAGAAACGTGAAAGACTTAAAACTAAACACACACTATACAGGGAAATCTACATAACTTAAACAGAGCATATTTTATAGTCAATTAAATATTTTTTTTTATAAAGAAACATCGCACAAGAACATCATTAATGAACTACATAATAGGCGTATAAAAAATGCTTAAATGAGAATTACACAAAAAATATACAAAATCACAGCTGAACTTAAAAATGAAGAAAAATTAAGAAGAACATTAAGAACATATAGAATTCGTTGAAACTTAATGGGGTTTTGGGGTAGGTTCTAAAGCATTTTGAGTTGAATCTTTGAAAAAATTGCAATGAAATAAATTAACAATTGGGAATAAACTTAACATAGTGAGAGAGGGAGAGAGTTGCAACTTCTACCAGGGCCTCCAGGCGGAGGCAGACTTCTCAATGGCACCGGCAAGGAACTTCTTCGAAGACGTCTGCTCATCCAAGGAGCAGTCGCTGGAATCGGCCTCGGCCTCTCGTTCCCGCTTAGCGATGCCACCGCTGGTGGAGCTCACTTGCTGCTGCTGCAAGTGGACCAGCGATCGCGAGCATCCGCTGCTGTCATGGCTCCCGGCACTCAGGTTCAGGGATCCGCTGGTGTTGAACGAGGTCTCTGCACTGGTGGGTGGCGGCGTGGAGAATACCCCGGCAAAGCTGTGCTTGGTCAGCACGTCCACAGTGGGGGAAGCAGTCCGCGAAGACTCCTCCTCCTGGCTGGAAATGGAGGAGATGGGACTCAGGGGCGGACTGCTGGAGTTGTTCTTTGTTGGTAGCTGTGTCTGTCCGGGAAGCTGGTTGTGCATGGGATTGGCTAGAGGAGCCTGACTAGCTGCCGGCTTGCTGAAGGCGCTCATCCGGAAGCTCTGTGTATAGTCACTCAGATGCGTGGGATTGGCAATGCTGGCCAAGGCGGCGCTGGCTGTTCCGGCTGCCACTCCTGCGGGTGTGCCAGGCCAAGCAAAGGGTCCTGGCGGAGGGGCAGAGGATCCCCCAGTATTGGGCATGATCAGAGCAAATTCCCCGGATGGCAGACGAGAGGGTATCAGCTGAAGTCCGCCCATTTGAATGGCCGGAGCCGAGGTCTCTGTGCGGCTGTTGTTATTCAGATCCTGCGGCAGTGAGGGAAACAGTGGAGCAGGAGCAGCCGTGACTGCTGCGGTGGTGGCTCCAGGAAATACTCCACCCCGATAGCCATTGCTGAAGTTGCTCATCGATCCAATCTGCTCCAGACTATTGGCACAGTTGTTCAGATGGGCACTAAGGCGCTGACGTACACCCGAATCGATCCCATCTAGCTGGCTGACATAGCGATTCACCTCCTCGGCGCACTCCACGAAGCCCGTCTTGAATTTCTGCACCACACCGGGATCCGACTGGATGGCCATGTTCAGCTGCTGGCGCTGCACCGACTGTAGATGCTTCACCGTCATCTCAAGTATGTCGGCCTTCTCCAGTTTGGTATGACGTGCCGGCTAAAAGTAGAGAACGAGAGAGTGGGGAATGAGTTAAAGTCAGATAATGATGAAATGAAGACGGCCCGAAGTTGGCCGGGCTAATTGTTTTGGGCCCTACAACAAGTTCAATGGCTTGGGAAACTGGGAAACTGTGCAGGGAGTTAAGGAGCACACGATTCGTGCCTCATATGTCCAACTATTCGCGTGTAATCTGCAGTCCACTTCAGTCCAGTCCACTCTGCAAATATCACACGACCAAGGTGAGATTCAGCAACTGCGGCAACAGAAGAACGAACAAAGATTGTTCTTTTGCACTGAGAGAAATGGGGGGTACTAAGGTGTTGATTGCAAATTCAGAAAGCAACTAAAAAAGTGTAATTTCTTGGGAATTTTTAAAAGTTTTGGAAATTGTAAATATTTTTAAAGAAATTTTTGATTTCAGAATTTAATTTTGGTTTTTAACATTTTCTGAACTTTTTTGCTCACTGCAATCTTTGTGATTCTTCGCTCCCCGTACACCCATCATCTCCATCTCTTTCTCGCCCGCTGGGACTGCATATTTTAGCAAAAGGTTCCCACGCAGGTCGCTCGCCAGTCCTCCATACCCCGGACTCGCCGACCTCGCCCCGCTCTGCCCTGTCTGAACCTTTTGTTTACTTTTGCTTTTTTTTTTTTGTTTTTTTGTTTTTTTCTTCTTTCCCTCAATGTCTTTCTTATTTGATTTTCGGTCTTCTGGTGCAGCCCAAGAGCCTGGGCTCTCCTGCAGAATTCTGCGGCGGCTTGATTTCTGCTTTGTAGTTTTCTCACAGCAGGATCACTCCTTGGAAAAACTGGTTTCGTTCGCATCTCCGGCGATTTCTGCGTAATTCCTCGACTTGTTAACACTTTTTGGTCTCTCCACTGACTGACTCCTCATCGGCGCTCTCGTGAAATGATCATCAATAAAATTTAATACTCAATTAGAGCCCTGACTGTTTTTACAGTCCCTCTCTATATGTCGTAGGAGTTGTCGGGTTTTTTATATACAGTGTGTTTTGTTGGTCCTGTTTGTAGTTTTGCCGCCCTCTGGACACTTGTGTTTCAAGGGTTTTTAATGGTCTGACATAATTTATATGGAAAGTGTTCTGAGATTTGGATCGAGGGTCTAGTTTCTAAATATGAAAGGGGGCGGAAAACTCCTTGCTTTCTTCTGGACACTTGAAAAGGATATACTCACGTCTTTTTTCATGGCCTCCAGGATCAGGGACTTGAGTTCGTTGAGGCAGTGATTAATGCGAGCCCGACGACGTTTCTCCATAATGGGTTTGTTGGTCTAAAAAAAGGATAAAGAATAGCGATTAGTAATTAGTTAATTGTTGTTAATTTTGTGATTTATTTTAGAAAAGAAATATATTGATTTATGGTTTGAAATATGTATAGTCAAGATATTTATTCTCTTAAAAGAAATTTGAATGTAAGGCATTATTGCAGAATTCTTAAGAACAATTAGAACCTATCCTTGGAAATAGTCTTTAAAAAAGGTTCCATGTTATTGAGAATATTTCTATGATGATTTTTTATTTAAGTATCCTAAAATTATAGCATTATTCTTTCTTCTCATACAAATATTTTTATTAACTATAATCAAAAAGCGTATAACTTTCAAAAATTTGTTTAATGAGATTTGAAATGCATTTTTATATAGAAACCCTCATCTTCTAAGCACTATAAACTCCATTATATCCAGATTCTTAACTCACCTTTCTCAACTCCGCCTTGGACAATCCGTTAGGATTGACCTGGCGACCGTTGCTGCCATAGCTATCGCTATAGCCATTGGAGCAGTCGAAATCATCATCAGAATTAATATCGTGTTTGTAATCCATTTTGTGTAACGATTTTAATTTGTATATATCCAAAAGAAGCAGTAATAATCCAAATTTTGCAGCTGATATTAGTTCAGCAAAGGTTTTGTTTTTATTTTTTCACAACACAAATAGTTATAACTTTGGTTCAAGTACGAAATATTTTTTAACAATTATTGCACGTACTTTTAATTCAACAAAAACTTAACAAACGTTTCGCGTTTCAGTTCGTTATCAGAATAATCTTGGTTTAGTTTTTAGTGTTCATTCGAGGAAGGTAGAGAGCGGCTGACGACCGCGCTCACGGGATGCCAAAAGGATACTGATCCTCGGAACGTTGCAACACTCACTAAAAACGAATCGCGACGAAGGCGAAACGAGTCCCCCGAGTGGAAACGAAAGACGCTCGCATTTACCTGGCGACGCCGGGGACAGAGGCAGCGGCAGCGGCAGCGGCAGCGGCAGAGGCAGGTAGCCAGCTCAACGATCGCCGTCTGCAGACTGAGAACTTTCAAGGCAGCCGAAGAATTTCACTCAAATTACGAGTGAGTGGAAGCGAGTGAGTGGAAATGATTCAGTGAGTACTGTTCAGGGTAAGTGAGTGAGCAGGCAGGGTTGTCGAGTCAACAAATTGCTTTGGTATCCCTTGGGATTATGGTAACTCGGAGCTTAGCTAAGTAAACGAACATAAGCCCGACTCCTGGACTCTAGAAATCACACAACATTCGGTTAAGCCAAGTCATTAGCACAACTTTAAACAGGAATTACTTCAAAATGTTTCTTCTTAAGGCAAATGTAAATTTTGAGATACAAATACTCATATACAAAATAATTTAAATCTTATTAAAGCAAGAAGTTATTACTGGTAAACTGAAGCATTTATAATTTTATAATAGAATAAAAGATTTCAAAATCATTTTAGATATTATAATACAATGAAATCTAAAAAAACATACATAAAACTGTCCTAAAGGAGAATATATACTATATATAGTAAAACCCATCTTCTTATAAACTCTACAAACTTCCCATCTAAATACTTTCCCTAATCCAAAATAATCCATATAAATAAAACTATAGACACCAACATATTTCGCGACAGATGCCGATACAATCTCTATAAGTCCGGCTGCATGTTTTGGGTGTCTGATGGCATTTTAGTCCCTCAGATCTCACCCTGGGCACAAAGCAAACTTGATCAATGCCCGTCCAATGATTTGCAATTCATTAAGGAGAACTTCTTGGCAATTGTGCGACGCAGCTGCCGCAACCCCTGTGAGGACGACAACCCAACCCCCTTGCAAGGCGAAAATATTCAGGATCTTTATTATTTTTGCCTGGCCATCTTAAAGGGGGTTGCTTGGGATCGCGCGATCCGAATTTGGGACTTGGAATCCGGGCCTGGAGATTCAGGGTCGTGGGTCAATCATTACCAAGAGCTTACCTGACTCCGGCCAGAACAGATTTTCCTTCTTCAGGCAAATTTATTACTTTACGATGTTGGGTGGATTAAGGCCAAAGGAGTTGTCAATAACCATGGTCGCGGGCCATGCGCCAGCTGGCAGCTGGCCGATCTACCTAAAGTTTTATATATTCCTATATTTTGGGGAGTAACCTCAAATATAGCCTGACAACTCTGGTTGTGCAAAGCGCCCCGATCGCAGCTGACATTACGTTTATGTCGAGCGTAAATCCCGCGTTGGGCAATAATCTGCGCGATCATCCATCAACCGCGATCACTGCTGCTGCACTGATCCATGACAGCTTTCCTAAATTGAATAAATGCTGCCCAGCTAAACCAAGGGGTTGGCTTGAATTCTAGGCTGATCAGCATTATAGCGGTGCATGAGGGTCATTCCGGGTGATGCTCTGAAAGAATCGATATGGTTTTTATATAATTTTAATGGAAATTTGGTTTTATAAGACTTTTTTGAAGTTCAGAATATAGAAGACCCTACCTATCTCTACATATCTCTATTCTATCACTTATTTCTATTAAAACTCGAAGTCCCAATATTATCTTGACTTAAAACCTTAAAACCACATACCAAATTTATGATGAGTCTGAAAACGTAATAAGTAACAGCTAATAAAGAACGGCAACCCCTTTAATGATCCTTACATTTCAACTCCAACTCCTTACGAATGCCGCAAATTTGGCAAACATTTTCCCACGAAAGTCCAAATAAACACGATGAGCTGGCACAACTGGAGATTGGTGGAAGAAAGCCAGAGACAGAGCAGCAACCTCAGGCCCGTCAGACATATGTGGATCAATCGTCTGGCAAAACGTGCAGAGTTGGGTGCTTCTGCAGAAACCGGCACCGAAATTGAGAGAATTGAAATTCTATAACGAAGAAACCGGGCAGAAATCAAAGTTCAATATCAGCCCCAAAACTGAGTTGCTTCAGAGGCTTCTCTCCTTGTCTTTCTTCGCTGGGAAGAAGAAGGGATCGGATCAAGGTAAACGTCATTTAGTGTGGCACGATCGCTGCCGATCGGTAGCCGGGCTTGGGTCTGTATCTAAAGGCATAGAGGATCCTCCCTTTTGGGGCTTCCTCGGTGCGTTGGGAACAACGCACGATTTACACATTAAAACACTTTAATTTTTATTGTGCAGCCGGTCGGTTGGTAGCTTCAATCCAACCGTCTGTCGGCCAGTGACGATCTACTTCCCTTTTTTTTAATCAATTCTGGATTCTGGGGGGAACCGGCGGGGGGACCTTTCTCAACCTCAAATTAGTGACTTTGGGCGTGTGTGTATTTTTAGCTGTGGGAACTGCAGTTATGACTTGGGGTGTGCTCTGGCACCCTCTCCCCCATTTATGTATATTCCATATCCTATAAGGAAAATAATGAGCATGAAAAATATGAAACGGTGGCAAATGTGTGAACTGATCCAAACGGAACTAAACCCAAGTGGATTTCTAAGACTTTGTAGGTGGAGGATGGAGGACACCACCTCCTCAGCCAAGATATATGTTGATTTAAATGAATTTCTTGTTGATTTTTATGGCGCTTAGACGCGAGGGGAAATCTGAGTGAAGTGTGCGGTCTGCGGGGCATTAGAAGTCGTGACAGGCCGCCCAACTATGTGATTTTTTCTTCCTTTTCCTGTGTGAGATTTTTATTTTTATGAATTTGATAAATGGCCGGCAGGGGAGTTGGGCTAATAACTGGAAAGTTCTTTTTGACAGGCTCCAAAAAGGGGGAATAAAATATATATTCCATAAAAAATAAAGAGCTGAAGGGAATTTTGAGTTATGAACTCAGGAAAATGGAAATTGCACCCTTTTGGTGGCTGAATTGATTTTATGCTTTCTTGGACTTTACTGCTTGACATATTCAGTCTAAGAAATATTTTTCAATATATGATAATAACTTCATTTTTAATGAAACCTCCTACAATATCCCTAAAACCCTGCTCGGGATCATTGATCCCATTGATTGGTGACCCCGAACCAGCTGATGTAACGGTCAGTTAGGAGATCAGCTGCTCCCTAAGCCAACATTTTGCACTAAACTGTCCTTTGGCACTCGTGCCAAAGATTGTTACAGCTGCCATCCCCATCCACATATCATCCCATCTTCGGGCTGCATCCCCCGTCATTCCTTTTTGGGTCAGAACAACAATGGCTTACGGCCCGGACAATGGACGGCGCTTGGAAAACTGACTTTTCAGGGGACGTGCGGGGTTTTTCATCGGCTTCTTGGAGAGGATTCTCTAATTGCTGGCAAACATCTTACATAATATCCAAGGAGAAGATGCGGCTCGGCATGAATTTAGGATGGAGCGTGCCCGATGCGAAACAGCTGTCGAGGATCACTACAACGACGACGTCAAGGAAGGGTTGCGGGCAGATTAGGCGGGACTTGTTTGTTGTAAAGATTTGCGGTTGCAGTTACGGTTGGTAATGGTTTCTCAACCCCAGCATCTGTCGTAAAAAATAGTATCTTAGGTACTGAGAGATAAGGAAATTGGGAATATTGGCTTCATAATTTTACTTTAAAGAATAAATTTAAAGGTATACATTTATTATTTTGTATTTTGAAAGTTCAAAAGACATTATTTAAAATATATAAAATTTGATTGTTTAAAAAGTTGATATTACATTTTAGATTTATTATTATTTATTATTTTGATACGAAAATTTCCATACAGAAATATTACAATCTCATTTCGAAAAGTATTAGAATTTCTAAAGAACTTTCTGTCCACCTTTATAGACTCTGGATTTTTTAATGATTTCTAACATATAAATTATAGAGCTAGAAACATACTATCTTTTAATGTTAAAATAATAGTAACAATAGCAGTATATATTTTTCTATAATATTAATAAACAGGAACCTATTATTCATCATAAAAGAGTTTCCTACAACAACTAATAAATAGGTCTCTTTTTCGTATACAAATCAATCAATACATTATTTTGGCCTTTCAATGTCGTTTTTTGGGAAGTATTACCCCAAATTGATTTGGTATTGTTTTCTATAAGCTGTTCTATTGAATAAATGGTAACCAATTTAAATTGAATTCTATCAAATTCCCCTTGTAGAACCAACGGAAACATGATTGTATTGGAATTGGAGACATTCAAATCAATTAAAGCCAATTGAGACTGAGTTACAGATACTTTTTGACATAGGGGAGTTGGAGTCACAGAGCTTCAATACCCAATGTATGTAAATCCTCCAGTTCTCATTATCATTCCCTCTACTTTTCCCCCGACGACAACAACTGTAAATCTTCCTATAAGTACAGTCATACCATTCCCTCAGGGGAGAAAAATCGAGCCACCGCGAGTCATATCAATTCATAAATGCATAATAATTTCGACAGGAGGACTGGGACAGGGGCTAAAATTAAAACAGAAGTCGCACATCGCCCGATGTGGAATAATGTGAGAAAAAAACTTTCTCACGATCACCTTTTGATGTCGCACAGACGGCGTTTAGTGGAAATCCACGTGCAAAAGGGGGAAGTTCGGTCGCTCGCTTGATCGCTGGCACGGAAGGAAGGAAGCAAGGAACCCACCACCATCATGTGCCGCCGCCACCACCACCACATCACCTCCAGGAAGCAGGCGGAGTAGGACGCAGGACTCTTCGCCTGCGCTTGTGGTGGTAGTTATCCCATATCCCCGCCTCCTCGCCGATCGTCAGAAGTGCATGAGAATTTAAATTACAAACAAACACAATCAGCGGGCTTTGTCGGTGTGCGTGTGTGCATCGGCATGCGAAGGAGAAAAGGAGGAGGAGGAGGAGGAGCTGCAGGAGAGGGAGGAGCAGGGAGGGTGCCAGGACGAGGCGTGTGTGGGAACTTTTGACGAGGACACTCGAGCATGAAGCGGGT